ACAAATGACAAGTGATACATAACTGATAAGTTATTCATTATCATTATGTTATGAGTGTGATCAATATATTATTTCTAATCATATGTAACTGAACACGAWTAAAAKAAGAAAAAATATTTTTCATAATTTCATTGAAATATTTCAAGCAGAGTGAGATTTTCAATTTTAAAATATTTCAAATGAAAAATTTCAAATTTACTAATATTATTAATTTATGCATGAACCACTTCAATGATAATATTATAGTAGTAATGAACTCATTATRAATATTCATTATTTTATTTGTGTACGAAATTGTAACCGCTATTATGGTACTTAGGGTTAGAAAGTCGCCCAGAACTATTTAGCAACCACGCGCCCACGGTCGTAAATCTTACATAAAGTTTTACACAATCAGCTGCATTGGTCGTATTCTTGGCCATCCAAATATAGGAAAATGTCCACGCTGCTTCTCTTTGACAATCTGTAATTGTGGTTTCCATTAGCCTGTATAAACACTTTCTYGCATATTTCGAATTGATTCTTACTGTACTCAATTGATGTAATTTGTCCACAGTCTGATTTTCAACAAGAAAATGTTCACAAATTAAAATTAATTGAWGTATTTTGGCTGTTATAGTTGTATTAATTTCATAATTTGTTTTCATAGTCTATGATAATATTTTCGTATTATGTCACCATGCCTTACTGCAGTTTATAAAATATGGCTTTTGTTTTTTTTTCACAATTACATATTTAATCTATTTTAATATTTACTTGCCTATGCCTCCCTCTCAACCAATAACAATTTTACCATTGATGGCAAGAAAATCAAAGGCCGGTCCTGATTAGGTACCTACTTAGTAATCAATACCTACTGTACTGTACTTTTACAGTAAGTCTGGTTGCAATTCTCAAAACAATATTTTCTGTTATATAATCTAATTATTTTGTTTTGTGAAAATTATTGCTGGAACGAAGATAGGGTACAGATACGGATATTATATTAGTTCGTTCCGTGGTTCACCCTTTTTTTCGTTTGATAATATAATATTATAACATTAAATCCGCTCCTGTGACAGGATATATTTGTGTAATATTATTAATAAATATGCATTCATCGCCTATAAATTACATATCATAGCGCAGGATTCGTGTTTTGATTTCGGTCGTT